GCTCAAATAATTCTCTTGCTTTAGCCTTCCAAGTAGCTGGGACTACAGGCACCCACCACAACGCTTGGCTATTTTTTTGGTGCAGTTGTTATTGTTTATCTGGCCGGGGCTGTGTTCGAACCTGCCAGCCTTAGTGCATGTGGCTGGCGCCATAACCACAGTGCTACGAGTGCTGAGCCTGAGCTCAATCATTTTTAAGAATGTAAATGGGCTCGGTGCCCATACCACTGAGGTTATGGCACCAGCCACATAACACTGAGAGTGGCGGGTTCGAACCCAGCCTGGGTCAGCTAAACAACTACAATAACAACAAAAAAATAGCCAGGCATTGTGGCAGGTGCCTGTAGTCCCAGCTACTTGAGAGGCTGAGGGAAGAGAATCACTTAAGCCCAAGAGTTTGAGGTTACTGTGAGCTGTGATGCCATGACACTCTATCAAGGGTGACATAGTGAGACTGTGTCTCAAAAATAAATAAATAAAGACTGAAAACGGATCCTGGGACCAAAAAAGTGAGAGCTGCTCCCATAATGAAATAGGGAGCCCAGCACAGTTAGGAATGGTAGTATCAGAAATGACTCAGTATCTTATGGCCTAGGTGCTATTGTGAGGTGAGTTTTTGTTATTGTTTTGTTTGATTCTTAAATTGTTTTTCTGTGACCATAATCTCAGGGCTTGGCAGACTATTTCAGTAAAAGGCAAAATAGTAAATATTTTAGGCTTAGTGGGCAAAGAGGCAAAATTGAGTAAATTATGTAGGTACTCACATAATAAGAGCACAAATTTCCTCATTTTTTTTTAATTGATGAAATATATAATAGAATAACAATCTATCGTACTACAGGTCTACTAATGAGAAGAGTAGAATTCTTTTGGAGGAGAGGAATGCATTTTGATACTTGGGGTTCATAGTTAGTATTTCCTATCATCACATCAGTCGTAAATATTCATCTGGAAAAACTGCTTTTATGGCTTGTACAGAAATTGGCAGTGGGCTTGATTTAGCCCACAGGCAGTAGTTTACCTATCGATGATCTGTCTAATCACTGAAGGGCTGTTTTTGCCAAGGAGTAAATCTAGATTGAGAGCATCAGTACAAATGAACTAGTAAAAGTTGGCGTACTTCTTTTCAGGAGCTGTTGTGTTTTTGCCAAGTTTATTTTTATATCCTACAGAAAACTGAAAGCTCTCAACTTTCTTTTTATATGCTTAGTAAAGTACTGCTTGCTAATCTGCTACTTGCTGATAATTGATTACCTGCCCAGCACTATACCACTTACTACAATTCAGATCAAAGTATAGTATAGTTGATGCCTGTTAGCCTTCATGACACTTACTGTCCAGTTGATGAGACCCAAAACTTTAAGAATTAGGGAAAAACAAAATATTGTTATATAATTAGGCACTTAAATGAATATGTTAAAAGCAATAATAAAAGTTCCACCACAAAAAAGGTCATGCAAGTAGGAATAGTTGAAAGACCTTTCTTGGAGATGAGATGTGAGCTGTGCCTAGAAGGAGTGCAAAGAGGCTCTGCGCCTGTAGCTCAGCGGCTAGGGTGCCGGCCACATACACCAGAGCTCATGGGTTTGTATCCAGCCTGGGTCTGCCAAACAATAATGACATCTACAACCAAAAAATCGCCAAGCACTGTGGCAGGCGCCTGTAGTACCAGCTACTTGGGAGGCTGAGGCAAGAGAATCGCTTAAGCCCAAGAGTTTGAGGTTGCTGTGAGCTGTGATATCACAGCACTCCACCCAGGGCGACAAATTGAGACTCTGTTGCAAAAAAAAAAAAAAAA